TGTGGTGCTGGGGGATTGAACCGCGGTCCCTGATGCTTTGCTAAGCTTGTTCCAAGTAGGTGCTTTAGACCACTGAGCCATCTCTCCAGCCCCTCCCCTTTATATCTTAAACAAGGTATATCACTCTGAATCAAATCTCACATGTAGGGAAGGCCAGGCATGGTGGTGCACACCTGTGATCCCAGCACTCAGGAGGCTGAGGCAGGAGGATCACTCCAAGGTTGAGGCCAGCCTGGGCTACAAAGTGAGTTCAAGGCCAGCCTGAACTACAGAGTGAGACTCCCTGTTTCAAAACAAAACAAAAAAATGCTGGCAGTCTGAGAACTCAGCTGGCCCAACCACTCATGTAAATATTTTTGAGACAGGGTCTCACTATATAGTTCAGGCTGGTCTTAAACTCACCAGGTAACCCAAGCTGGCCTCAAACTCATGAAGGTCCTCCCACCTCAGCCTGCAGAGTGGTACTATCACAGTGTGTGCCACTATGACCAGCTCACTAGTGTAAATTGTAAGCACTCCCTACAATATTTCTCTACTCCACTGCATCTTATTTCTTCTTCTTACAAAAAAGGTATAGCTGGGCTGGTGAGATGGCTCAGTGGTCTAAAGCCCCTACTTAGAACAAGCTAAGCTAAGCAAAGCACAGGGACCGCGGTTCAATCCCCCAGCACCACATGCCAGCCAGCCCCGCCCCCTGGTGGGCTGAGCTGGCCCCCCCCCACACAAAATAAATAAATAAATAAATAAATAAATAAATAAAACAAAAAAGGTATAGCTGCTAGAAAATTTTCCTATACATGGAATTAAAATATTTTTCTAAAATTTTGAAATCTACCCCTGAATTTTGAAATTACCACTACCTGGTAATCTACAGAACAGAGTGAATCTTTTAATCCCAGCATCTGGGAGAGTGAGGCAGGAAGATCATAAATTCAAGATCAGCTTGGGAAACTCTGCAAAATAAAATAAAATAAATACATAAATAGGGCTGGGGGGGGGGTGGTTGGCCAGATAGCTCAACATATTTAAGGGCCTGCTTAGGCAGATAGAGGGACCAGGGTTTCATCCCTGATGTGCTGTGCTGGCCCCACCCCCAGAATGCACTGAGACTGCAATTGAGACTGGGTGGGGTGGTGTGCACCTATAATCCCAAGCCTTGGGAGGCTGAAAACAGGAGAGTCATTACAAGTCCAATCTGTGTAGTGAGACCTTGTAGACCCTGTACTAAATACAAGAAAAATAAAATAAAAATAAGGGGGCTGGGGAGATGGTTCAATAGAATAAGCGCTTCCCTGGCAAGCACAAGGGCCTGAGCTCAATACCCGGTTCCGCCAAAAATAAAAATAGGGCTGCGGGTATAGCCCAGGGTTAGGTGTCCAGAATCACAAGGGAGAATAAAGATGCTATATTCTTGGAAAAATGTTTATTTGTAATGCATCTTTTACTCTCTGGTTTTAAGAAAATATAGTCAAGGATGTAAGAGTCAAGAATTCTGAGGGGACCAGGGAGATAGCTTAGTAGAATAAGTGCTTGCCTGGTAAACACAAGGGCCTGAATCCTGAAATTCATAACATAAGTATATTTTCTACTGCTATTTCTGTTAAGGTTTTCCTCATCTCCACCACAAGCAGTTTCCTTCTGCTGGCATGCCCCTATGGCAGAGCCAAGCTTGGGACGAACAGCCTGGCTCTGCTCGGAAGAGTCCATCCTCACAGGAACTCACTGCTTCTCACCTACAGGCCCCTAGGGACTCCCCTGGCTGACTCAGGACTTCATGTGCAGACTGGATCCCCAGAAAATGGTTCTGGGCTTCCTGTCTGCTGGCAGTTGTGGTCAGGGTGCTGGACCTTCACTAGTTCTCAGGAACACTGGTGTACTTCTTCATATATTGCCCTCTCTGAAAGGTCCCAAACCTTAGGGAAACAAAAGCCAACAAATTAAACTAGGTGTGGTGGCACACACCTATAATCTCAGCACTTGGGGGGCTGAGGCAGGAAAATGTCTGAGTGAAGGCCAGCTTGAGCTACATAGTGAATTCAAGGTCAGTGTGAACTACATAGTGAGACCCTGTCTCAAAAATAAAACAAGAGGGGCCAGGGAGATGGCTCAGTAGAATAAGCGCTTGTCTGGCAAGCACAAGGGCCTGAGTTCAATCCCTGGTTCTGCAAAAAAAAAAATAAAATAAAATAAAACAAGGGCCAGGGATATAGCTCAGCGGCATAAGTACCTGCCTGGTAAGCACCAGGTCCCAGTTTGATCCCCAGTAAAGGAACAAAACAATGACAACAAAAAACCCCAACAAGTTAGAGTGAGTCTCACAATTTGTCAGGGTACCTGGGTCTCTTCAGGCTCCTTTGCTAAATTGGGCTATGAATTTCTCTGGAATAGCTCAGCACCTCACTCTTTTGAGCCAGGAGTGTAGCTCAGTGGTAGAGCATTTGCCTAGAATAAGCAAAAGCCTAGTTCACTCCCCAGAACCAAGAAAGAAAAAGAAAAAGAAAAATTCCAACCTTGACAATCCACAATTTCTCACAAGGGCCAGAATTTGCCTTTAATCACAACTGCACATTTTCTTTCTTTCTCTTTCTTTCCTTCCTTCTTTCTTTCTTCCTTCCTTCATTTCTTTTTCATTTATGTATTTGGTACAGGGTCTCACTATGCAGCTCAGACTCACAGTGGTCCTATTTTCAGGCTCCCCAGCACTGGGATTACAGGTGTGTGTCCTCATGTCTGGACTCACATTCATATTCATTCTCTCTCTCTCTCATTGTTGTCTTTTGAGACAGGGTTTCACTATGTAGTTCACACTAATTTTGAACTCGTTATGTAGCCCAAAGTGGCCTTGAACATGTGGCAATCCTCCCGCCTTTGCATCCTGAGTGCTGAGATTATACACATGTGCTACCACTCCTGACTTTACAACTATATATATATTTTTTAAAACTACTATACATTATCTAACCTAAAACTTCACATCCCAACCTTTTCTCCTCATAGAAATATATGTACTTATGTCTATCAAAGATGTGTACAAGGGGCTGATGAGATGGCTCAGTGGTCTGAAGCACCTACTTAGAGCAAACAAGCTTAGCAAAGCACAGGGACCACGGTTCAATCCTCCAGCACCACATGCCAGCCAGCCCCGCCCCCTGGTGGGCTGAGCTGGCCACACACACACATAAATAAATAAATTAATTAAAAAAAAAAAACAAAGATGTGTACAAGAATGGTTATAGGACTTTTATTCATAGTTGTTCTAATAAGAATTTTTTTAAGGAAGGAAAGTTTTATTTAGCTTACAGTTTGTGGAGGTTTCAGTCCATATTCTTCTGGCTCTAAGGCAGAGCGGCACATGGAAGAGGGCAACAGCTCGAGATGGTAGGAAACAGCAAAAGCAACAATAGCAAAAAGAGAGGAACAGCTTATTTTTTAGAAACAGAATATTTTTTAGAGTCTTTTTTATTTTATTTATTTATTTACTTATTTATTTTGTACCAGGAATTGAATACAAGACCTTGTGCTTGCCAAGCAGGTGCTGCACCACTGAGCTATATCCTCAGCCCTTTTGAGATAGGGTTTTACTATGTAACTCCGTCTAGCCTTAAATTCACCATGTGACCCAGTATAAGTGTGTGCCATGCCCAGGCAATAGTCCCCAAGTATAAACAACCCAAATATTAACAGGATGAATAAATTGTGGCATAGCCCTAAAGTAGGATACTATACAACAAAGAAAATATACTATTTACAGTTGCATGCAATTATGAATAAACCTCATAATGCTAAATGAAAGACAAATACACAAGAATATATACTGGTTGCTGGGTATAATGGTGCACACCTGTAATGCCAGTACTTGGCAGACTTAGGCAAGAAGCTCAACATGCCAGCTTGGGCCACAAAGTAAGGTGAAGACCAGCATGAACTACATAGCAAGACTCTGTCTCAAAAAAAGAAATCTACCAAACAAACAAATATATACACTGTGGTTGATTCCACTTACTGTTCAGGAATGGGCAAAATCTAGAGTGATAGGCTGGGGCTGGGGCCATAACTGGGCAGTGGAGTGACCCCCTCATATGTGAAAGATCTTAGCTTTAATATCCAGCACACACAGAGACAGTGATGGAATTCAGAATAGAGGTTACCTCTGAGGGGACTATACACTGGAAAGTACATGAAAGAAGGCTCTCAGTGCTGGAAATGTTTCATACCTTTGTCTGAGTTGGTGCATGTTTTATATGTCATATCTCAAGATCCATACATATATATTTCTCCTCTCACCATCAGTGTCTGTGATTTACTGACTGCACACAGAAGCTCAAAGAATCCAGGACTCACTTCCAGGACCCAGCCAGTATACATGAAAATGATACTTCCACATGGAGAACACCAGCTCCAACAAGGGCCATCCTTACCTCAGAGCTATCCCAGGCAGCAAGGATAGGGAAGAAGGCCTCACCTGGTAAGCCAGTTGATGCTTCTCATCCTGAAAGCTGTGAAGAGTTTCACAGAACTTCTTCCATTCCTGGAAGTAGCTGCTGTGGAGGTCAGGATCCCCAGCCAGGAGCCACCAGATCTGAAAAGGCATAAGAAGGACAGACTTGATGAAGCAGCCAGGAAAGGAGAAGCTGAGCCAACTCAAGAAGGAGTTTCTGTTACATAGTTGAAGGTGGCAGCTGTGTTGCCAGTGGGCCTGTGAAAGCGAGGTAAGCCAAGTCCAATCAGTAGAGCTGCACACAGAGTTTCTAGCTCCAATCAGGGTTTGCAGTGCTGATGCTTCTAGGATGTGATGCTGGCAGCCAAGCTGATGGGTAGAATGTCTATGGGGCAGCCATAAAAGATAGGAGAAGTAAGGAATGCCACACCTAGAATGCTCTTAAAAAGTCTGAGGTCTGGTTGCCAACAGCAGCCACCAGCAAGACCCCTAAGCCAACTGACAGTGGGAGGCTTACAATGTAGAAGCTGGCCATGGAGAAAGACAGAGCCACAAGGCCAAAGTAAATGCCCACTATCATCTGAGTTGCAAAGTCAATGAAACTCATGGGGGAGTCTCCTCTCCTGGCTTCTGCTTCTGTCCTGTTGGTTTCAGCTACAAATTTTGGGAGCTTCCAGAACTCCCGGAGCCAACCCAGCTCACCACCCCCTAGGGTAAGCATCAACAGCAGGGCATGGCTGTCCCTTTCCAAGTATAAATGGTGGAGGCCAAAATGACCACCTACAGCTCAGAGAACATAGGTCACAAGGATCCCCATAGCCACTGTCTAGGGCAAGAGCCTCAGAACAAGTGCAATGGCACCTGACATTGCTCAAGGTGTAGAGAGCTCAGGGTCCTTTGTGAGAATCATGACCAGATATCCGCAGTTATCCTTACATTCTAAAATTGGGGGGGTGGAATTTTAAGATTATATCCAAGTCCCAACCTAATAACCATTTCTCCTTCCAATAAAGGTCAAGTCCTAGAGCTGGGAGATGGCTCAGTGCAGCAGGGGCCTGAGTTCAATTCCAGGTTCTGCCTAAATAAATAAAAAAAAAGTCCAGATCTACTTGAGTGTTGCTGAAATACTAGTTGTCCAAAACTCTTGTTCCAGCTCTTCATTCCTGTTCTTTACAAGTATATCAAATTCAGACTTAGGAAAGAATTTTTTTTAATTTTTCATTTGGGAAATAACTCAGTGTAGGGAGCTTGTATTTCAGACCTCCCCTCAGAGCTGGCCCCAGAAAGCCTTGTGGGGCAGGGACAAGGAAGGGCTGAGTAGGATTCTTCCAAACACTCTGAAAAGGCCTCGTCCTACTCCACACCCTTAACACCTCAAAACTGCTCTCAGTCATGTGGCCTTTTTTGTCCCTTACAGGCTTCCCATCTCTCCAGGCCATGCAATTTTACCACAAGTCAGACTACTAGGCGTCCTGAATTCCTGCCCTGTAAACGTTCTGGAAAACGTCTGATCTAGAGCTCAGCGCCCCAAAGCTCAACCTCCACCTTCCCAGGCAGGCCTCTCCCAAAAGGGCCTCGGAGCCAGCCGCCACCCGAGCCTGCCCGCCGCCTCTGCGCCGCGGCTCTCTGCAGCCCGGGAGTCGCCGTACCGGCAGCGGCCGCAGACCGCGACGCAGCAGCCCTTGACCTTGACCGCGGGACCAAAATGTCCCCCGCACTCAGCGCCCACTTCCATCCCAGGGGACTTTCGCCTTTCAGCGTCGACCGTGTCACGGAAGCTAGGCGTCTGCAGCCCGGGACCCTCCCCGAGTCCCTCCGGGCCCCTCTGCACTGCGCTCTCCCGCGCCTCCGGCCGCTGCCGCCCCGCCCCGGCCCAGCGCGCCTCCTGCAGCGCCGCGCTGCGACCGCCAGGTGGCGCTCCCAAGCACGGAAGCGTGAGCCGGGCAGAGTCCCAGGCTCGTCTTACCCACAGGCGCGGGCACCACCTCCCAGAACGGTTCCTACCCAGAAGCTGTCGGGCAGGGACACGGTCGCCGTCCCAGCTATGGGCCTAAAATTAAGAAAAAAAAGTTTTTGATTGCCTCGTCGTGCTTCCACAGACGGGAGGCTGCGCCGCCTATGTCCACACTTGTTTACCCTTCCGCAGGGCTTCTGACGGTCCCATTTCCAGGCTCTAAGACCGGAAGCAGAGAGGGACCCCGTCGAGTCTTCCTCACGTCCCTGCCTCGCGCTGCCGTGAGCGGACTCCGCATCTAGACCTGAGCCTCAACAGCCCCTGCATGCGTTGTCCCGGGCCTCGAGTCTTCGCTAAGCCACCCGTTTCTTGGGCCTCAACTTCCTCCACTGCAGAGGAGGGGCGAGGAGCCCCACGATCCCCCAGTCTAGACTCGAGGGTGGGGTGAGCCCCGTGGGCCTCGGCTGGTGCTTCCTGCTGGGGTCCCTCCCCAACCTCCGCCCGAGCCCCGGCCCGCGGGGGGAAGAGCGGCTCCTCCCCAGGCCTGCCAAAGCCTTGGCCTTGGAGGGGCTGCTGAGAGCGCCCCAGCCGCGCCGGGGCGGGGGCGGGGGCGAGGGCGTCCTGAATAATGAATGAGGCTTAATTGGGCCCGCAATGCGCGGCGGCGCGCTAAGCTCGGCAAACAGCGCGGGCGGGCGGCCGCGCCGGCCTGCACAAACAAACTAGCTCGGCGCGGGGCGCCGGAGGGGCCGCGGCGGGGAGGGGCGCAGCGCGCAGCTGGCCCCGGGAGGGACCCGGGAGGGACCCGGGAGGGCCGCGCTGCGAGGGCGAGGGCGGCGCGGAGCGGGGGGGATTCAGGGCTGCCTATGCCAGCGAGGATCGGGGAGCGAGAGAAGCGGACTGTTCAGGGAGAGCCTGGAGCCCAAGGGCATTGTAAGCGCGAGGAAAAGATGGAGAAACGAGTGGAGGGCGGAGGAGAGCGGGCGAAGTGCGCGAGGGAAAGCGCACCGGGGAGGGGCAGCGGGAGAAGCGCTGTTACCGAGAGGAAAGCAAAGAGCGATGGAGGAGCAAGCGAATGCGGCCGCGAAGGGCCGGCCGGGGAAGAGGAATTGGAGAAGAGTCAAGGAGAGGGACGGGAGGTGACCAGAATGAGAACGAGGGGGCGGCGGGCGGGGAGAGACACCCCTGCCCGCGCCTCGCCCCGCCGCCTCCCGCCCTAGAGCTCTCTCCAGCCGCCCGCACTCACTTTGTCACAATTACGGGGCCGTCACTCGGCCAGGATTGTTTTCCCAAAATTGTTGGTCTATAAACTGGTGCGGGGCGGCAGGTGGGGCGATCTGGCAGCTGAGCACGGAGGGGGGTCTCAGCGACCATGGGAGGCGTACTGGTGTATTTTACCCGCAACCCGACCCAGCTTGGATGGGTAAGAACAGAGACCCATGCGGAAATTCTGGTTGCTACCTCAACCTGATCTCGCTTTTCACCTTCCTGCACCCGCTCGGCCTCTGCGGCCTTGATTTCTCCAGCAGAACGCGACAAGGACCGGAGGCCCAGGGACTGAGGCTGGTCTAGCTGCGGCCGGAACTTCCTCGTTCACCCCATTCTCTCCTGGTCTTTCAGACCCGGCTATCTGGCTGCGCCTGTACATCTGCCGGGTTCTCACCCCTTCTAGGTCTGGGTCGCTTCCATCCCTGCGCTCCTTGATATTTCCAGGCCACCTCCCTGTCCCTCAATTCTGCAAACATCTGTTGCGCGCCCACCAAGCTCCAAGGCCGCGCCAGCCTCCCCCTTGGCCTCACGCGCCACCAGCCCCTTCGCAGCCGGCCGGGCCTGTCGGCTCCGTGACAGCCGCCGCAGAAGCCTTGGCCCCGCGGGAGCGGCCGGAGAGAAGCCGCCGCATGGCTGGCTCCGACAGCGACCTCCCCGGCGGCTCCAGGGGCAACGGAGGGTGGCAGCCGCTGAGGCGAGACCGCAGCGGGCCAGGGGAGTTGGCAGGGCTAGGCGGGGGAGGGGAGAGGCCTTGGGAGGATGTCTCTCTAGCTCTCTAAAGCCTGTAGTTTCATTCTGTTGTCCACGGTTCCCGCCAGGGCCCGACCCCGCCTGACTCCTCGCGCCCGGGACGCAGAAGGGTCCCCATGCCCCCTCCCCCAGTCCGGGTGATTTACACTCGAGCTCCGTGCAGCGGCCGCTTCCCAATCAGGAATATCGACCCCAGGCGGGGCCCTCGGGCCGCATCGATCCCTCTAAGGCTCGGGATTTAAAAATGTCAAATTTGCCTTTTCCAGGCAGGAGGAGGGTGTGGGGGCCAGGAGGCGGGTAGTTTGGAGAGGAGACGGGCAGCGGGCATCGACCAGGCGCGCTTGTGCCCGGAATGAGAAGCGATCGGGCGTGCCGGGCCTTGAAGTGGTCTGGCTGTCTCTCAGTTCGCAATGGCCTAGAGCTGGGGGCAAGAAGGAAGCTCCTGCTCCCTCAGCTACAATCCCGATGTACATTGTTGTTACACTGGGGCATTCCCAGAAGGGACAAAGAGTCCCCTAAAATATAGGGAGACAAAATTTGAAGAGATCTGTAAAAGTGAAAGCATGTAGGCACACAGATGTAGGAAGAGATGTAGGAAGAATCTGAGGGTAACCCAGCTCCCAGAGCAAAGGCAAAGCAAAGGTGCCTTACAAACCTGACAAATAAAATAAAGGTCAGAGACCTAGAATTGTTTCAACTCTGTTCTGTAGGCCCAGGAGATTCAGAACTGAGAATGTGAACAGGCTTAATTTCTTGATGGTTTAAGAATGAAGCAGAAGAGTGGAAGCAAAGCCAGGTGAAAAAAGAGAGGCATCAGGGAGAGGAGTTATAACCCTAGAAACTAAGTGAACCTGAAATTCAAAAGGTCACTGTCCTGGCAACAGCTACTCTAGGCCTAAATGAGGCACACTGTCTTGGAGAACTGAAGGTCTGCCCCCTTCCCTTCCTAAGCCCCAAACAGGTGTCGGTGCAACATGTACCTTCTCCCTGGCAATGAGGTGGGCTAGGATCACATCTTACATTGGAGACTGTGTGCGTTTGGCTATTAGGAACGCTGAGGGTAATCACTCCCCCACAACTGAATATTTGAGATTTCACAACTGGATATTTGAGAGGAGAGGGAAATCCACTACTTTCAATGCTTGAGAAGAGAGGTAGTGGAAGTGGTAAAGGGAGCAGTTGTCCTGACCAGCACTTTCACAGTTAACTTATGTCACATGCCTCTCAGTCGCATACCTCAGCTGTCACTACATGCACTGCCATTTCCTCCAGAACTGGAAATAGAACTGACAGCAAGCTGGGAAGGGGGCTGACACTCAGGGAGGGGTGGTGGCACATCTTATGACACTCGGAGAACCACTGGCGAAATTAGCGTGACATCCCTGGCATACGGACAATGGTCCCAACGCAGATACACACCTAGCAATCTCTGCCACAAGCATTATTTCTGTGTGAACAATCACAAAATTCCTGAGATCACGCCCAGAAGTCTAGTTTTAAGGTCTGTCTATACCCTTGACATGTTACGCTTTAATTAACCCTAGGGGAAGGATTATGTCCCCGGCCCCTACTTCCCTAATTCTGCAATCAGGGCGAGCTTCAACGGCTGTAAGGCTGAGCGCGAAGAAGTCAAGTACTAGGGTCGAGGTGAAGAAACGGGAGCAGACAGAGAGGTGGGAATGTTAAGCGCTCCCTCACTCTCCCTTCCTGTCACCCCCGCACGCGTCCACTCGCGGTCCGCCTGCCCGCCCGGGGCTGGCCTGTCAACAGAGTAATGAATGCGCGCTCGGGCCTCCCCCCTAGTCGTTCATCACTGCCAGAACCGCCTACCTCTGCCTCCCGCCGGGAGGGCTCAGCGGCTTAGGCTGTGAGAGCCCCTCTTCCCCACCTCGACCACTAATTGTCAGATTGAGATGTTGATTTGTCAGCTGGGAGCTAGCGCCAAAGAATCCGCAGTAAAACCTGGACTCCTTGAACTTGCTTTAGACTCCACTCGGGTTTGCCCGGACTCGGAGCTTTTCTTGATTTGAGGTGGGTGGGGAGGATTTCTTTCGAGAGACTGGGAATTAGAACAGATGCGTCTTTCTGTTCCAATAGGGGGCGCACTAGGCTACAGACTATCTGTTTCCCTAGGAGGAACGGTCCTGGGCTTAGTAACACTCTTTCAGACAGGACACCCTAAAGCGTTCCCTCTCTCGCAGTCTCCCAGCAGGAGGCGCCCTGGGCCGCGATCCCTGCCTCCCCACAGGAAGGCACTAGACCGCTGACACGCAGTCCCCTGGTTGTCTCCCGGGGCCCAGATGCCTCCCTCTCCCTTTTCCTGGCGTCTCGGGTCGCTCTTCCCCGCTCTCGCGCGGGAGGAGCACCTGCTTCAGGTCTACCCCTCGCCCTGCCCAGGGCGCCGGGCCCGAGGCTGCAGCCTCGGCCCCGCCCTCTCCCGGGCCGGAGCTCCCTGGGCGGCCGGCTGAGTGACGGGCGGCCGGTGATTATGCGGAAGGGGGAGCGGGGTGCGCCGCGGGCGGCAGCGCTGACCCTTCACATTTCCGATCCGCCGGGACCCTCATCCATCCGAAGCTGCTCTTTGTCTGGCCGCCTAATTGCCGGCGGACAGGATGGATGGCGGGACCGACAGCCGCGGAATCCCTAATAAAGGCCGCGGCCGCGGGGGAGGGAGTGTGGAGGGAGGAGAGCAAGAGGGAAGGGGTGGAAGGAGGTGGGAGGAAGTACTGGGCAGCGACCGCCGGCTCCGAGGAGCTGCACGCGGCGCGCCCTGAAGCCCACCCGGGGTGCGGGTTGAGGAGTGCAGGGTCAGGTCTTATCCGCGTGCGGGGCTGTGGGGCCATCCTATCGGCTGCTTGTCAAAGCAAGATAAAGCACTAGGGACCCCAGCCAGAAAGAGCAGCCTAAGGTTTATCTCAGCCAAACCCTGGAAACTTGGAGCTTGGCCCTGTCTCCTGGGCGCCCGGCTCTCACTAGTCAGTGCCCTTCCCTCGACTCGTCCTACCCGCCTCTCTCACCTGTCGCTCTCCCAGTGCGGCATCCAATATCCCTCCGGAGACATGAGGGATCTGACAGCTGTCTGTGCAGCCAGTAGCCACATTTCATTACCCAGAGGCTGGAGCGCGAGCGGCGGGGCGAGGGGGACGCAAAGGGAAGCAGAAACGGAGGTGAGGACCGGGACTGAGGAAATCAGCTCTCTCTGGCCCGACAGGTACCTTGGAAGCAATCTCTGCTCACCTCTGGGGTGCTGGCAGCCTGTTCTTAGCCTGGGGTCCCTGAAGCAACCCTTTGAAGCCAAGACTTCCAGGAGCTGCTGGAGCAGGCACACTGGCTGAGGAATGGGAGGCCCTGGGCCTAGCATTGCACCTGGCTCTGGCCCCAAGGCTGAGGAGCATAAACTCCACAAGCAGACAAAGTGTGCAGAGGTTCTTGGGCTACCACTGTTTTCCCATTGTGGATCAAGAGGACAACTGAGTTCAGCCCCTTGAGCGATTTTTTTCCTCCAACTCATTTCATTTTTGTTTTTCTTGTTTTCTGTGCTTCTTTCTCTCTATCTAACTCAACAGTTCACTGCAGCGAAATTTGGTCTTACGTTAGCCAATGTTGAGCCATGTTGGAGGTCAGAAATGATAGCACTGAGTGGGTTGGGACACACAGAGGCTATCCTGTTGGCCTCATACATATAGGTTTCCTCTGAGACCCCATTAAATCTCACTTCACACTCCTGTCCCCATCTCTCCTTCCCAATGCCTCAGGCACTGTTTGTCTCTTTTTCCAAAGCTCTGGGAAAGAAGCCAAGCTATCAAAACTCCAATTCTAGAATTGTCCCTTACAGGGTGAGACTGGACAAGCCATTTCCCCTTTCTAGGCCCCAGTTTCCTTATCTATAAAATGGAAACAACATGTTCACCTCTCAGGAGTGTAATAAAGATACATATTAAAAGCCTTAAGATACAATACTCCAAACTATTATTTCCCTTTCCATGCAATCCAATGGCCTCTTAAGTGCACCAAATTCTCTTTTTCTGGTACCAGGTAACTCAGGCTATGTCCAACTATAAGTGACCTCCAGTAAGAAGCTGAACACCAGAGTATAGGAGCAGTTGGAGAGAAACACACTGGGGCTGGTTCTGGAGGAAGAAAGAAAGAATGTAAAGGAGGGAAAGTGTTTCCCTAGATCTTTATCGAACACCAACCAGTTGGTTCTTCTTACAGATAAGGAAACAGGCTTGTGCAAGTAACAGAGGCAAGTTACACTATCAGAATCAACCCTTCCATGAGCTCTTTATTTATTATCTTCTCATCCCCTTTCTTTCCTTGATGGGATCTGTGTCAGTCACAACAAGTGTAAGAAAGGGTTGGGCCTGGTGGCTTCCACCTGTAGTCCCAGCACTCGGAGGCTGATGCAGAAGCATCACTGCGAGTTCAAGACCAGCCTGGGCTACAAAGTGAGCTCAAAGCTAGCCTGAAGTGCATAGTGAGACCCTGTCTCAAAAAAGACAAACAAGTATAAGACAGTTGGTTTTGTAATCTTAGTGTCATGGTTTGGGGCTTTTGCAAAGGGAACGATATAATACTAGATACATTTTATAATATTAGTTCATAAAGATTCACCCTAAGAATCATATGCAATAAGTGCAGGAAATCTGTCCACATACTAAACACCAAAGAATCCAGTTGAGGGCCTGGATCCTAATACCCTGATGAGTACAGCTAAAAACGTAGAGCTCATGTCAAGGCCTTGCACAAGTCCAATTGGAGGCCTAGAGCCCACAACAAAGTCTCATGCACGTCTACTTCACAGATCTGTGCTAGAAAGGCCCAAAGGTCAGGGGTGGAAGCTGAAAAGTCTATGCCAGTGGGGTGAATGATCTGTGCTAGCAAGCTGAGAGATATGAACTGGAGCCAGGAAGCAAGGCTCAAGGTAAGCACCAGAGATCCCCAAATGTATCACAGTTATCCTGAGCAACACTGAGCTCCTGAGCTGTTCCAGCAATGAAGAAAGCTGAGTTACCATCAGGAAAGCCAACACAACAAGTTTCTCCACAAGGCTGATTCCAACCACCATCTCCACACCATCTTTGTTTTTGGAGTCAGGAAGCAATGCTCAAGATGAGGACCAGAACTCCCCCAAAATGAACTGTAGACATGCTCAGTGACAGCTAGGTCCTGAGCTACTCCTCCAGCAAGCACAGCCAAGTTCATCAGGGAAGCCAGCATGACAAGGTCACCCAGCAGAACAGCCCAGGAGAACCTATGGCTTCCAACAGCTCCAACAGCTTCTCCAAACAGCATCCCTAACAGTGTTCCAGCAGCTTCTCCTGTTCTGCCTTTATGCTGCTGGCAACAATTCTCAGGTGGGATTCCAACACCCAGCACCATCCTAGTTCAGTTCATCTGGGTGTAATAAATTGACCACCAGTTAGAAATACACTACACTCAGTGTATAGCACTGAGTGGGTTGGGACACACAGAGGCTATCCTGTTGCACTTAGAAGGCTGAGGCAGGAGGATTGCTGTGAATTAGAGGCAAGCCTGGGTTACACAGTTCAGTTCAAGGCCAATCTGAATTATATAACAAGACTCTGTCCCCATACCACCCCCCAAAAATGAAAAAGAACAAAAAAAGAGAACCTTCAAGGATCTAGGATCTCTCTGCTAGACTTCATAAAATTTTAACATGAAAACTTCTGCAGAATAGAAGACACATATCACATGCAAATAATATGCAAATCACATAACTAATGGAAAGTCTGGCCCTCAGAACTCTGACATACACCTGTCTATAGCCCTTGGGAAATTCTGAGAAGACCCTGGGACATGTGGGGATGCATTTCACTTCAGGTCAGGTCACGTAGTTAAGATTAATTTTAGGATTGGAGAGAAGTGTAGCATGTCCTTTGGGATCAGGGGCAGAGTTCATATGTAATCAAGGGAGAGAGTAATGCAGGATTCACACTCTGTGATTTCTAACAGGAGCACCTAGGAAACTATTAAAGTGATCCTGGGCTATCCCCTACTAACACTGCCCCTATGTCCACAGCCTCTTTTTATTTTATTTTTTGGTGCCCACAGCCTCTTTGTCCTGCAGCACAGCCTTCTCTATGTAATTCTATTCCTAAACACACCACCACCCTAAGGCTCCCAGTCTGTCTGCCAAGAGAGCTCTTGGTAAATTGTCCTGGGCCCCAGCAGTCCCTCTTGGTGGGAGCACTGGCTGGTCTTCGCCCCACCAAAGTTCCTCCTCCAACGAAAGTGACAGCTGCAGGGGAAGCAATAAGGACCTGGTGAGCTGGCAGCTTCATTCCAGAAAGAGCAGCAGAACATGAATAAATTCATGGAGCTGGCCCCTCCGCTCCCAGGGAGCCAAGCCTGCTCCCCCCACCACACACTGCAGCTGGCCTCTGGCGTCCCTGCTGGTCACCACCACTCACAGGCTGGCCGGGCATCGAAAGAGAGGAGAAGCTCGAGTCTAGGGAAGAGGCCTGATATCTGAAAGGAGCTGAGGGGAGGGTCTCAAAAAGGGGTGCTAGCGTGTAAGATGACTGGGGTAGGCAGCAGGGCTGGGCACAAAGCGCCTCTATTAAGTGGAGGGGTAGGGAAAAGGAGGAGAAAGAGCCAAAGCAGCACTTGGGGTAGATGGGGCCTGAGGCTTGGGTAGGAGAGGCTGGTGTGAGCCAGGCCTGCTCTCTCTAATTCATCCATCATCCAGCCTGGGGGAGCAGATCTGGAATTAGACATGCACACAGCCGACACGGCCCTCAAACCCCCCCCCCACCCCAGGAAGAAAAATGGTGACAAAGACCTTGAATAAAATTTGTATTTATGGTTGGAGCAGGATGCCCCTCCCCCACTGACTGCCAATCCTTTCTCTCCCAATCCTTTCAGCCACCTTGGGACTTCTCCTAACCCAGACACAGGCTCAGCTTCAGCCAGCTCAGTCTCCTGGCACCATGATGGGAACAGAGTAGGAGTACAGGACCTGAGATAGAAGGAAATCACCTACCCAACAACCATGCCCTATGGTCTCCAAACATCTCTACTTCTCCAGTCTAGAGCCCCTTCTCAAGCTTCTGGTCTGGGTCCTTAAGAAGGTACAGCCAGTAGTTTTCTAACCAGACTGATAAATCAATTAAAGCTGGCCTTCCTTCTTGGTCACTCAGAAAGCAGACAGTCGCTGGAAGGTGCTTAGCATCTAATCTGCATTTCAGTTATACCAATTTACATAACCAAATCCATTATGTGATTATGTGAGGTGTAACTTTCCTGGGTTTTGTCTAAGAGCAGACACTTAGGGGATGTGGCCTGGGCAGAGACTGTAGGACTGGGAACCTCGGGGACTAGGGAGAGTGAGACTAGAGCTGCTTCCTTCTTCTTCCCAGGAGAACCCTCCTCTTCAGTCCAGACATAGAAATGGCATTTGTGGTTCCAAATATAGGGAGTAAGAGGAAGATAAATACAAATAGCTGTCTTCAAACAGCCCCCCAACACACACACACACACACACACACACACACACACCACCACCACCAACAACAACAACAACACAATCCACAGTCCCACTCACCTAGGGACACACAAGGCTGGGATCCCATGGCCACCTCCACACTTTCCAGCACACTGTCACAGTGCACAGGCCCAGACTCTACCGCTGGCTGGCAGAACCGCCCCGCCTTTCTTCCCCACAGTTGATATGTCACATTGGAGTCCGAACACGGACCTGGGTGTCTCTCTGCAGCGCGCCATTTACATTTCTCTCTGGATCTGTCAACCTGTCTTGGCTCTGTCTCTCTCTCTTCGTCTCTGTCTCTTCCTCTTCCCCCTGTGGGGCTGTCAGTTAGTCTCTTTTCGTAGCTTTGTCTCTGTCTCTGCGTCTCTATCTGGCTGTCTCTTTGATTTTTCTGTGGCTCCTTTTCTGCTTTTCTGTCGATTTCTTGCTTGCTCCCCGAGCATGTTCTCTCTCTCTCTCTCTCTCTCTCTCTCTCTCTCTCTCTCTCTCTTACACACCCTCGTTTTGCACCCCAAACCTAGGGGCTGGTGTTGGGAGCAGGAAATTTGCCTTTTCCATTTCAGGTCAACAAGTATCCGTTAAACCCGTTCACTATGTTATTCAGTGTTCTGTTGGGTCATGGAGGAGCGAATTTCCATCTTTTCTCTCCGTTGTTTTGTTTTCTGTTTGGGAACCCCCACCTCCTTTAGCATTCACCTGTCTTCTCTGTATCTTGACCCTTGTTTGTCTTCCTCTGGACTCTGAGAATGCCAAACTTCGAGTAGAGGTTGAAAGTAAGTAAGGTGGGAGCCGCAAGTCCCTGCAAAACCTTTGGAGTAGCAAGGAACCCAGAGGCCGGATCCAGCGCGGGTGGGGGTGGGGGCTGAAGGGGGCGGTGATGCCCGCCCCGCCCCCGCGCTTCCGCATCTGTGCGCCAGGGGTCGCTCGGGCTTCGGCCGCTTATAGTGGCTCCCGCGGCTCCGCGACTCACACCACCCGCACTGCCGCCGGGGGAGGAAGGGGAGGAAGAAGGTTAGGGACTCAGAGAGGGAAAGCGCTTGCAGGAGACAGACGCCTGGTCAAGGCTCCCGCGGGCTGCGGCCGCGGCTGAGGGAGGAAAGCGGGTCAGGGCTCCCCAAGAGCTACAGCGCACAATCCCCAAGGAGGTCGCGTCTAGTGGGCGCTACCAGATCAGAGTCTGGGACGTCCAGAGCGCGAGGAGTCCCCATTCCTGCGGGGAGCGGTCGGTGTGGGAAGCCTGGCGTCTTGGCACCGCCATCCGTGAGAAAACAGATGCTTGGAGAGCAGGCATCCAAGACCTGTAAGAAACCAGCCGTCCAAGAAGCCGCGATCCCAGGCGCCTGGGACCGTTAGGACTGCACAGAAGGGTAACAGGATCACGGGTTCTGAGCCGGCAGGGGGTGCCGCTGGCCCAATCCACCGGGGGACCTCCGCCTTGACGGGCGGGTTGGGGAACGGCGCCGCTGCGGCGGGAGCCCCCAAGGGTAGGGGGGTCGGGCGCAGCTGTCGAGGTGACCCAGACTCAGGCCCGAGCCCGGCCACTGTTTCCTGGGCCCGCGGAGAGTCCCGGGCCTCCGCCGCCATTGCGCCCAAAAGTGAAGAGGATTTGCTGGCCCTGGCCGCGTCGCGGCTGAGCCGCCGCAAGCGGGTGGCGGGCGCGGCCGTCGGGGTGGCCATGGTGCTGCTGCTGCTGGTGGCTATTCCGCTGCTGGTACACAGCTCGCGCGGGCCGGCGCACTACGAGATGCTGGGTCGCTGCCGCATGGTGTGTGATCCACACGGGCCCCGAGGCCCGGGCCCCGACGGCGCGCCCGCTTCCGTGCCCCCCTTCCCTCCAGGTACCAAGGGAGAGGTGGGTCGGCGCGGAAAGGCAGGCCTGCGGGGGCCTCCGGGACCCCCAGGTCCCAGAGGGCCGCCGGGAGAGCCCGGCAGGCCAGGTCCTCCTGGCCCTCCAGGCCCCGGCCCGGGCGGGGCGGCGCCCCCTGCTGGCTACGTGCCTCGAATTGCCTTCTACGCGGGCCTGCGGCGGCCTCACGAGGGCTATGAGGTGCTGCGCTTTGACGACGTAGTGACCAACGTGGGCAATGCTTACGAAGCGGCCAGTGGCAAGTTCACCTGCCCCATGCCAGGCGTCTACTTCTTCGCTTACCATGTGCTCATGCGTGGCGGCGATGGCACCAGCATGTGGGCAGATTTGATGAAGAACGGACAGGTGAGATGCCCCTCTCCCACTTAGCCCCAGCTCCGCATTCATGCCACAGCCCTTGCTCCTTTAAACAGCGTCAGTGAATCCAGGAGCGGAAGGCTGCCAAAAACTAATAAATAACTTCATTTAGCCAAACTGGAATTGGTAAGATTGCCTGCCCAGGGTCTCACAGAGCGTTAGGAATGTTATCGGAATAAGAACTCATGACTTAAAAATTGCTGTCTCTGCAGCTTTGACCTCCCATTACAATTTTAGGCATCTGTGTTGTCTTACCAATTAGTCCCTTTTCTTCTCCTATCTTGAGCTCCCTTCTCTCCGAGGGGCAGTCTTCCAAGTCTTTGGGTTTCCCAACCCTGGGTCCAGGTGAACAACCTGGTATCTATTTGGCTCTTTTGAATCAGAATGGAACCTACTTCTCAGAGGATCACCAGTCAGTAGGCACCCCTATGTGGAGAAATTGAGCTTGGATTTTCAAGGAAAAGGTAAAAATAAAAAGTGCTTACCCACTTGGTAGGCAGTGGTTTTATTGTTCACCTCAGATCATGGAGGCAATACTAGGCTATTGCTTGCTCTCCGGTAACACCTAGTCTTATAGGCATGGGTGGGAAGTGGCTCCACAGTCCAGAAGCCATTGAGATGATAGAAGCAACAGAAGTAGAGGAAGAAAGAGGCAAGGAATAGGGAGGACCAAGAGCTTAGACTGTGGCCTGGTCCATAGTCCTCACATCATTCCTTAGCAATCTCGAAGCCTCCAGGTTCTCCTGCTTATCATACAGCAGGCAATCATTTTAACTTACAGCCCCAAGGACTCAGTGGGAGTGATACATAGCTGCAGGGCAAGGCCTCTGGTTAAAGTAGAGACAGCTGCCTGGAAGATACAGATGAAATGGGGAGGTTGGGCCTGAGCAATGACCTCTGAATGCCCCACATGAGCGAATAGGGACTGGAGGGGTGACCAGGGTACATGGGGCCTATTCCTTGGGGTTCTATCTGGGCCCATGGGCCCAGATCTGTCATAATACCCTTCTGCATTAAGGAGGCCACCTTTGGAGGCCTACCTCCTCCTATACCTGTTTTGGGGTCTCCTCCCAGCAGAATCGCCACAGAAAGCAAGTGAGAATTCCTGAGTGTCTAAATGGGGGTGAGATAGAGTATCTGTAGAAGGAAGTGTGAGTGTGCATGACTACAGCATGTTTGTGGGTGACAAGGGGTAAGTAGCATGGTGGTGTAGATGGGCAGGTGGCACCGAGTAGGCATGCTTGGTTTATGCACATTATCTGGGAGGAGGCCCAGGGTCAAGTATGTATTTGAGTGTGTTGGCTTTGGAGGGAGTGGGGACCATGCTGTTCCTACTCTGTATTCGTCATCTGCATGATCGCTGCAGCCTTGGGGATGGTAAATAATGATTAGAATAATAATGAATAATTAATGAGTTAATAACCAGCCCCAGTGGGATAGGAAGAGGGAGGTTGTGGAGGGGCCTCACACCCTGTGGTAACAGCCAGGAGGCCAGAGGAAAAAGGCAAGGGCTTTCTGTTTTAGCTGACCACCCCACATTAAGCACCGGTGCATGGGTCCACTGAGAAATGGCATCCCAGAGGCCAGAACCTTGGCACCATGTGCTGTGGCTCATGCACACACGCACCCATGACCCACCACAAGGTTAGGGTTTTCTGGAGACCCCAGTGGGTATAGCGTGTGTGTGTGTGTGTGTGTGTGTGTGTTGTGGTACCCAGGATTGAACTCGGGATCCTGCACTTGCCAGGCAGGCGCTTATTGTACTGAGCTATCTCTCCAGCCTGGGTGTAACATCTTAAAAATTATCCTATAGGTTTTTTATTTTAATTTAGTTGTGGGGTTGTTCAGACTTCTTTTTTTTTTGGTACCAAGGATTGAACAGGCAAACACTTATGCTGCTGAGCTATCTCCCCAGCCCTAGAGTCTTGGTATACAGTCCAAGCTGGTCTTGAACTATGTAGCCCAGGCTGGCATCGAACTCACAGCAATCTTCTTGCCTCAGCATCAGAAGTACTAGGATCACAGGCATAGGGATCACACACAGCTCTTAATTTTTAATTGAGAATAATCATAGTAAGTGTATAATAGCCACTGTTCTAAACACACCCCATATGAGGCAACCCATTTAATCCTAACAACTTGACAAGGTACATTCTATTATTGACACCCCCCCACACACACATTTATGGCTCAGATTGGGGTCTAGAGGAGTCCTGAAGTGTGCCCACTGAGCTCATTACTAATGCACGGCAGAGCCAGAGCTGCTCAATCTCCTAGCTTCATCTTGTCCTTCCCAGCACCATAGCCAGACCACCCCTCAACACCACCTTCTCTGCCACCTCCCAAGTCACCCTCGGCATGAGTAGGTCGTTTCCTCTCCTCCCTTGCTAGGTGCGGGCTAGCGCCATTGCTCAGGATGCGGACCAGAACTATGACTACGCCAGCAACAGCGTCATTCTGCATCTTGATGTGGGCGATGAGGTTTTCATCAAGCTGGATGGCGGGAAGGTACATGGAGGCAACACCAACAAGTACAGCACCTTCTCTGGCTTCATCATCTACCCAGACTGAGCTGGCCACCATTCCTGCGCCTTCCGCCTTTGCTCCCTTCCAGTCCTCTCACTTCCCACCAGCTCTGCCCTAGGCACTGCCCATTCCTTGTAAACATGGGGTGACCCCTCTGCTCCTGAGCTCCCAAGGCAGCCAAAGGGCAGATTACTGGGGCTTGAGGGTATGGGCTGGGAAACTGAGGGGCTGGCGGAGTAGGATGTGGGGGAGGGACCACCCACATCCTCAGCTGCACTGCATGTGACAGGAACAGCTGTGGTTATGACCTGCTCCTTTGCTGGGAGCCCGGGAGCAGCTTCACTAGCCTGGGCTCAGAGGCCCAGAAAGTGAAGGGAAGCCATGGTGGCTTAGGAGGCCAAGAACATAAACAAGGAGCCACGATAGCCAAGATCAGGGTAGATCCTGGTCCTGTTATAATTTTCTCTCGATGCCCTTTGCTCCCTCATCTCCATATTCAGGCTTCAGCCTTGACAGCCTTCTTGTGAACTGGAGGTATTTGTGAATTATTTCCTAGCATTCAAATTCATTCTGTACAGTCCATGTTCCACCCCTTCTCGGGCTTATGCCTCAGGGCTATAGATGCTGTTACCTCATCCAATAAAATAAGGTTGGGGGATTGTGTGCGGCTGCTTTAATTTGGTGCAGAGTGGAGGTGAAAGTAGTGGCCCTTTCCTTTGACCTCCAAAAAGGACTTTCATCCTGCCAGTCTCTGCCAGGGCAAAATTTTAGTTACCACTGGCAAGGTGGGGGTGGGGGCCAGACTAGGGTTCTCTGCTGTGGGTGGAACTATGGCTCCCCCACCCTCTTGGCCTCCCTCTGTGGTGAAGGGGACACCAGCTAGAGTGACACTAACGAGGGATGATTCCAAAGGTCTGGCTCTAGGCCCTGCCATTCTGCATAATGCAGACAGGGCTGTGTAGCAGAATTCAGTGTTCCTTGTTTTTGAGATGGGGTTTTACTATATTGCCCAGGCTGACATCTAACTCCTGGGCTCAAGTGACCCTCTCACCCCAGGCTTAGCCTCAGTCTCCAAGTGGCTAGGAATACCGATATGCACCATCATGCCAGCTGGGAGTCCTAGCAGAAGAGCTCTAGGGGATAAGAAACTGACCTCAGCTCAGGGAGAAGAGACCCCACAATTGATCCTACCCCACTCGGAGACCGTGAGAGGGTGGGCAGGGCAGGACAGCCTCCAAGAGAGCCTGGATGGACTTTTGAGCCCTGGGAAACCTGAGCTAGAATACACTGCCACCCTGTGGGCAACTGGAGAGCAGCCAGTGGTTGCCCAGTTTGGATGATTCAGACTCACTAGCTGGCTGTTCAAACACTGTAGAAATTTTATTAAAGGATAAAAGCATGTTGGCCCCCAGTCCCATGGGAAGACCAAATAAATAAGGGCTAAAAGGAAGGGGTGAGGTGTGAATGGTGGGAGCCTCAGGATGGAGAGCTCTGAGGGGCCGCAGAAACAACTGGAATGAAACACTGGAGAACAGAAAGAGATCTTGTCACATTCCCACTATTTTTCAATAAGAGTGGAGGTGGGTCCCTGCCACCACCCAGGCCTGGACTGGAGGCTCACCAGGGCATCTTGCCATTCAAGCAGTGTGGCCACAGGGTTGGTGCAGACCCGGGTGGGCCCTGGGGGAGGGGCTCGGCTGGTGTAAAAGGCACACTCATCGTCCAAACGAGCCTCATGGGAGCAGTGGATAGCAGTGAGACATGCTTTGAGGCGCTGCCTCAGGGCCAGGGTTCGAGGGCCCAGATTGCTAGGACCTGAAGACCAGAGTTGGGGAGCAGCTTGGGGTCCTATATTCCCATGTGGTACCTTCCCTTCTTAAAAGGGTTAAACTGGCCAGGAGCCCAGAGATAAAGGAGCAGCTCCTCCCTTCTCCTGAGTAGCCAGGCTGGGACAGGGGAGACAACAGAGGACAATGCATAGCAACACTTGGTGCAGGTCAGGGCCCCCCTCCCAGTGATAAAACCGCCCTTGCACACCCCCTTCTCAGCCCACTACTTACCTGCCTGGCCTATCAGGGGTCTTGGAGACTGAAGTGAGCAGATAGGGGGGCTGGCACAAAGGGGGTGCTGGGAAGAGAAGGTCAGACTGGTGGCTGCTGGAGCTCCCTGACCGCAGCAGTGCCATGGACTGGACTTCAGGCATTTTGGTTCCAGGGAACAGGTATCTGATGTCCCTAATATTACTCTACGACAGGCCTCTTCGGATGCAGTCTGTCTCTGGGGCTGAGGCTGCACGGGTCCAGGCTCAGCTGGTGGGCAGGGTTCTGTTTCCTCGGGCTGCTCCTGGGAGGAAGGCTCTCGTGTCTCTGGCCTGGCCTTAGAGCAAGACTCTGGAGGCCCTGACTCAGTTGGTGGGCACAGCTGTGTCACCGCCGGCTCTGGTTGTGTCACCCCAGAGCACAGCTGTGCTTCCCCACACTCCTCTGGAAGGCAGGGCTCTGGCAGCTCAGAGTGCTGTGACAGTCCAGGAAGGTGTGATGTCCCAGAATTATGCTCTGGAGCATTTAGAGTTCTAGAAATCTCAGCTAGCAGGGGCTGAAGTTCAACCATATTCAGAGAGCAGCCTCCATTAAGGGGGGAACACTTGCTCACGGCCAGCCCTTCTACCTCCTGGCGCAGTAACTGCTGCAGGATACCAATGCGCTGTAGTGGGACAGAGTGCCCAAGTGTGACGTCAGGATGAGACTGGGCAGTCTTCCCACACTGCAGTTCATGCCCCTCTCCCCTCCCAGCTCCCCCTTCTCCAGCCCCATCATTACCCAGCAGGCATCCAGGCCTTGCCCCACAGCCTACCTGCAGTTTTAGCTCCTGGAAGTTGAGGGCGCCGTATGGGTGTGATCTAGGACTTGACATGGTTAGTTTCCCAGGCTGCTCCTGCAAGTTTGCACCACTGTCCTGCTCAAACAACCGTATAGCAATCTGCTCCTGCCACATACATGGGAAGTATGTGAGGAAACCAGGCTACGGCAGAAAGCAGACTGGTCTGAATCCCTAGCTGAGAGATCTAAATCCGTAATTGTCAGGCTTTAAATCTAAGAGTAGAAGGGCAGCAGAAAAGTATGCAGAGATGGAGAGAACATACCTGCTTCAACATCTAGATCTCCAGACCAAGGGCACAGCATAAGAAACCTCAGCATGGATAAACTTCTGATACTTACCCAAGGCAGACCAGGCTCTTCAGGACAGGACTGAGGGGTGAAGCCACTCAACCACTGGGCCTGTGACAGAAGGCCTCAGTAACCCAGAGGCAGCCTCCCCTTGCCTCTGTTTTAACTCCCTGCACACATCCTTCCTTCCCCCCTGGGTCCAGGAGAGCCACCTGCCCTGCCCCTTCTTACCCGCTGAAGTCTGGGGGTGAATGGAGTGAACTGACTTTTGGGTCGAATGGTGGGACGCCGCAATAATGAATATGAAGTCTGGGGAGAGAGGTGGGTGGCTGAGCAGACAAAAACAAAGCCCATCGGTGTTCTCCAGCTAGATTGCTTCATTCGTGCCACCCCCTTGGACTTTTCCATACAAACCAGAGCTGGGATGCCAGGGGAGGGTACACGCTGAGCCCGTCCGAAAGGCGATGAATGGATGACAGGCGGTGCCATACGGCCAGGCACAGGCTGGGCCACAGGGGCAGGGGAGGCCACTAACTGGGAGTCATGGGCATCCTGTGGAGATGGAAAGGGCAGAAGAGTGATCTCTTTCCCCTTTCTGTGTCACTCAGTATGATCCTTAAGAACGAAGTCAAATCATGTCACCCCTCTCTTGGCTTTCCACTCATTCCAATTGAAAAATAACAAGGATTTACACAAGTTTAAACCCTTGCTAAACTGATTCTGTTACTGCTATAAGCTTTCCCTTACTGTTCTCCTCCTTACTGGGCTTCAATCTCACTAGTCTCTCTCTTGCTGAGCCACAGATGCACTAGGCACATTCTCTCCTCTGGCCTTTAAGCTCTCTTGGTCTAGAACGCTCTCCCCTAGATGCATGCATGGCTCAGAGCCTCCACTCTTGGTCTTCACTTAAACTTTATCATCTGGATGATTCCCTGCCCAATCTACATTAAACTGTGATAACTCTGCCACTCTCCAGTCCCCTTCAGGGTCTTTTCCCCCACAGAGAATGTACCACCATCTGATAGCCTATATAGCTCACATGTTTTGTCTCCCTTTCTAGAGCATTTATGTGCAAAGCCGAGAATACCTTCACTCAGTAGCTGGCCAGTAACTATTTGTGGCATGAAGGGACAAATGCTTTTAGTTGGCCAGTATCAGATCTGTCTTAGCCCTGGCATTGACCTGATGGTGCAAACTTATGCCAACCTCCCTCCAGGCCCCAGCTACCTAGGAGAGTCCCCCTGGTACAGAGGTCAGCCCCACTTTGCAGAGGGCTAAGACCTACATATGGGAAACCCAGACCCCCCATAACATCCTGAGAGCCAGGACTGCCTGGCTCCACTGCCAGTCCTAAATTCCCCTAAGCATCTCCCAGGCTCCCTGTCCCCCTCCCAGGAGACTCCCATCTCACCCTGGGGTGTGCTCTCTCTCTGGTTTCTCCTAAAGGTACTTGCTGGGCCAGACCTAGGAGGGCCTCTGTTCCTTCATCTGAATGAAGGACATTTTTGTGTTCTTCAGGGAAAGAAGCTAGGAGACAGGAAATTTGCTGTAGTATCTAGAACATCCATCAGAGTCTGGCACAGGGCTCTGCCACTTCTGAAAAAGGTACACCGTTTCAACAGCCCCCCAGGGCCCATTAGAGACAGGGACTCATGCAGCACCCCAAGAGTCCAAAACAACCCCCCAGCATTATGACTGAGTTGGTAACAGAACAGTAAGTGCAAGGTCAATCTTGAAGAAGTGGCAGGGAGAGGGCAGAAATGGGGACACAGGTACAACTGGCCAACCTCTGGCCTACCCAAAAGCCATGTCTCTTTCTGATCTCCTCTTCCCCCACCCACATTTGTTTTGTTTTCTGGTGGGTTTTTTTTTTTTAGAAGATAAATAGTCACTGTTTTCTAAATTTCACTGCTTATTAGTAGTAGAGTTCAGGCTAGCTTTAAATTCATTATAGCTCAGGCTGGCCTTGAACTTGCAGTGATCTTCCTGCCTCAGCCTCCCAAGTGCTAGCATTACAGGCGTGTACCACCACCTGGTTTGTTTTGTCTTTTGAAGCAGGGTCTTTTTTTTTTGACGGAACTGGGGATTAAACTCAGGCCCTTGCACTTGCCAGGGAAGCGCTTATTCTACTGAGCCATCTCCCAGGCCCTGAGGCAGGGTCTTAATATGTAGTTTAGGCTGGCCTCAAATTTGCAGTGATCCTCCTGCCTCAGCCTTCCAAATGCTGGGATTCCAGGCAGGCACTACCATGCCCAGCTCTTTGCTCTTCCAATTCACTCACTCATTTTGCACTGCTGCCCTTGGAAGCCCAGGGCACTTTCAAGTGCTAGGCAAGTATCCTATCAATGCTCCCAGCACTCCTGTTCTTGCAGATCTAGCTTCCCTCCCTCCCCGTTTCCTCACCCCACTCCCACCCTCCAAAATGTGCCAAGTTTTCTCTTGCCTTGTATTCTTTGTTTTTTGGCAGGACCGGGGATTGAACTCAGGCCCTTGCGCTTGTCAGGGAAGCACTTACTCTACTGAGCCATCTCCTTGGCCCGTGCCCTGTTTTCTGCACAAAACACACTCACCAGGCTGTACAGGGATTTCCAGGAGCAATCCTGAGACATGGCTCACTGAAGTCCTGATGGCAATAAGAACCATAGAAATCGCTGAGTACCAACAGGTGGGCAGATGCAGACTCCTGCACACACATCATTTCACTTCATTCTCACAGCAACCTCTAGCGAACGTACAAACATTCTCATTTCCCAGATAAAGGGACCAAGGCTCAGAGATGGTAAGACAAGGGTCAGGAACTCAATCCCACTGATTTCCACAGCCCATGTTGTAGGTAAAAGAAATAGCACCTCACCTGTCTGTCTTTTTCCTGATACTCTGAAGCCTGACTGTGGAAGTCTGAACAATATTCCAAGGGCTCACCCTGGGTAGCCACAGGTTTCCCCTTGGGGAGTCCTAAAACTATCAGAAGGCCCTAGACCTGGGGGCCCCAGTCTTGGGCACTAGTTCGTTCTTTTTCACATGAACTTCTCCACATCCTCTCCTTACCGGTTTCTGCCACCTGTCTCTCTTCTGAGCTCCTGTAAACTAGGGCGGGTGGGGGAGTGAAAGGAAGATCCTGAAGGTAGAACCTGATCCATAGGTGCAAGAGAGAAAAGTAGAGTCAAAAGTGGGCCCCAAAAGTAGGGATCTAACCACCAAGCCCACCACCTGATAGAACCCCTTGGCTATGAGGGGCCCGCTTTGTCCCTGGAAGGAAGCTCCCAGAAACACTGACATCAGTCCTTCCAAGGCACTCACCAAAGTCTCGAGCCTCTGGGGGCACAAAGTCTGACTTTGGGGTCCAGATCCCTCCAGTCTTGAGAAGCAAGAAGCTCTACCAGGGCCTAGTCGGTGGATGGGGGTTCTGGGGGCCAAGTATGCAGACGCTCGAGCACCCTAGGACCCCAACCAAGATAATTAGCAGGAGCTCAGGATTCTTTCAACCCTCTCCAGCCTGACTTCATGTCTGGTCTCATTACCTGGCCCCGCCGAATGGAACATCCCTGGCTCCCTCGAACCAGTACTCTCCGAGCCAGGCTGGACTGGCGCCCCAATGGATAGCTCTTCACCCCCTCACCTGACAGGATCGTGGCCAGGGCTGCAGGGTCAGCCACAAACTCTAGGGGCCCTGGAGCTTCTGAAGGTTAACAAAGAAAAGGTGAGAAGTAACAGGAAGAGGAAGCTAAGGGGCAGGGGGTTCTGGTATATTCACCCTGAGAGGCAGGAGTAAGAGACTCATTTAACTGAACCCAGCTCACCAAATGTTCATAGAACTTTAGATACAACTCCTGCCTTTCTTTTCTTTTCCTATTTCTTCTCCTTCCTTCTTTCCTGTACACGGGAATGAACCCGGGGCCTGGCATATGCTAGGCCTGGCATTGAACTATATCCTCAACTTTTTTAAAATTTTGAGACAGGATCTTACTAAATAGCTTAGGTTAGCATTTAACTTGTGCTTCTCCTGCCTTAGCCTCAGCCTCAGCCTCTTGACTAGCAGGTTTTAGAGGTATTTGTTCAGCTTGTTACACTACTCTAAAACAAGAGCCACTGATGAAGAAAACAAAGCCCCTCTTATCAAACTACTAAAAGGTAACAGACTTGAGCCAAAATATGGGATATTCTGCAAAGAATTAGGAGAGCACAGAACTGAAAAGACATTAGAAGGGATGACACTTTGCTGAAGAGGAGAAAGCTGGCTTCTAAGAGCTTTCCAGGAGCAGAGCCAGGATTTTTTTTTTTTTTTTTTTTTTAACGTATTTGGTACGGGGTCGCACTTCGCAGCTTGGACTCGTAGTGATCCTCCTGTTTTCAGCCCCTGCTCCCTCCATGCTAGGATTACAGGCCTGCACTGCCAAGCCTGGTCTCCATGGCCAGTTTAGCACACCCCAGGGTAGGAGGGCTAGAGCAGCATGTGGTGTTGGGGACTGAATGCCAGTAACTGTGCTTGCCTAAGCAGGTTCTTACTCCAGAGCTATGGGACTGAATCCAGCGCCTTCTACATTGCCTTACATCCCCACCTCTTTTTATTTTTTATTTTGATACAGGGTTTGAACCTACAATGGTCCAGCCTCAGCCTCCCGGAGTACTGGGATTACAGATGTACACTATTTACACCCAGCTACCAGGACTCTTACAGTGAGCAGAAAATCAAAGAAGTGAAGTGCCCCAAAGCAATTCCCACTCTCACTCAGCTAAGGAGGCCTCCAACAGGCACCTGTCTGTGGAGGGGGCTTAAGCCCCGCATTTTGTCCCCCAGGGCTAGGCCTGAGCTCCTCCAGGGGGTTCCGAAGCTGAGTGATTGCCATGGACTTTTGTGATTTCTCTTTTTGGTACGTGGCTTTTGACCTGGGGCCTGCTGAGTCAACAAGCGTACGTTGAATACTAAGTTGCGGCTTCTGCACCAATTTCTAGGGAGAAAGGGGAAGAAAAAGCTGGGATTCAGCGCTGGGGTGAATTGCTGGTGTGTGTTGACTCCTAGTAAGTAGTTTCTACCCATCAGGCCCCTCTTACCCCCGGATCTTGGTTCTCCTGGTCCTGGGAACTCGGCTTGACTGTGAGGAAAGGCGGGCATCTCTTTGAGCGTACTGGAATCTTGCTAGGCGTAGGAGACACACCCCGGAGGAGGGGATCCTTCGTGGCTTGGACGGTGGTCATGACGGCTACAGAGACGGGGAACACGGCAGGATCGGGGATCAGTGTCAACGTGTTCTCCGAGCACGGGTCCTAACATCCCAACACTTCCACCTTCACCCCCAACCAAGCGCACAGAAGCCACCCAACTCCTGCAAGGCCGCTCTTCCTGGCTGCCACCTCCAGGCACTCAGATCCCGCTCTTTCGCTCGGGACCCCTAACTGCTCTCTTCCCTCTGAGCTCCCGCAGCCCTCATTTCCTTCAAGATCCCTGTGCCGCACCGTCCCAGGAACCCTTCAAGGTTGCCTCCACTTCCTTCGCTTTCTCTCCAAGTTTCGGAGTCTTCTGCTACTTCCCCAGTTCGTAAAATACGCCAAGCTCCTGATTGGTTCGTCCAAGGCTGAGGAGGCGCGTGACGCATGACTCAGCCACCCAATCAGAGACGTTTGGAGGCGGGATCAGAAGAAAGACTAGTTACGGAACCGCTTTTCGGCGAGGAAAAAAACTGACCCGGCTCCACCAGCCAACCCGAGAGCGGAGCGCGCGTGGAAGGCGGGGAAAGGGGTAGGAGGAGGCCATTCTGAGGCCATGGAAGGCGGGGCGCTCCGAGTCCGGGCCGCAACCGGCGCTACCGCGTTATCGCGAGATCTTACGACTGGCTGAGGCAGGGTCCTCTGCGAGGAAGTGTGGGGGCTCTCTGCGAAGGCTTGGGCCTTTCCGTGGCCTGAGTGATGTTGGAGGATGTTCCGAGCCAAAACTCGACTCTAACCATTGAGCCGGTCGAGTTTGAGGAATGCCATTCCAGACCTTTAAAGAAAACGTGCCCCTGCGACACGCAAAGTGGCGGAGAGCGCCAAAAGGAATTCAGTCACTGAGAACAAAAAGAGAAAAACCATTTGTTCGCTTGGGTCTCACCACCCGGGGAGGTGGCAGACCCGGTGTGTCTGCAACAGTTAACTCCAGATGGAGGCTCTTCAGCTGGCTTGTACTTCTCCCGCTTCAGCCTTCTCCCCACCTCGTCTGCAGGTGGTCTCCTCCAGGCCTAGAGAATTGCAGGAAGGGTTCACCAGCGATTATGGACAGGCAGGGGTGCAAGGCAAGATCGCAGAATAGATTTAGAATGGAAGAGGAAGACAGGAAATGGACATGGCTTTGGGTCTACCCTTATCCTCTGCCCTTCCACATGCCATCTTTGCACTTTTGCTACATTACCACCACCTTAGTCCTCTGATATCACCTAAAGGATGCAAGAGTCTCCCATCCTCCATTATCCCCTTCCATATGAATCCATTCTCCTCACAGTAGCTAATTTTTACAAAATGCAAAACTTGAACTCAACGTGTAGCCCAGACTGTCCTGGAACTTGTGGCAATCTTCTTGCCTCTGCATGCCAAATGCTGGGTTTACAGGAATATGTTACCACGCTCAGCTAGGGGGAGTTGATTTTGTAGCTGAAAAGGTTGTTTTACTTTTTTTTTGAGACAGAGTCTCCCTATGTAGTTAAGGCTCGCCCTGAATTTGCATCAATCCTCCTGCCTCAGCCTGCAAAGTGCTGGAATTATGGGTATGCACCACTACGCCTGGACAGAAAACTTTTTTGAATGGTTGGTGCTCAGAATATCTACCATGCCTATCCAATCTGTTTGCTGTTTTGTTTTGTTTTGTTTTGTTTTGTTTTGTTTTGTTTTGTTTTGTTTTGCAGTACTGGGGATTGAACTCAGTGTTGTAAAATTTCCAAGAAACTGGAGAAACCAAGAAGGATTACTGGAGGACTCATTAGTGCATGACCCGGCCACTGGAAATGCTCAAAACCAGGCTGGGCCCTGAAACAAGGAGAGGGTCCCTTTTATACAATTTTTGGAATCAACCAAGTAGAGATACAGGAGCAGAACAGAGGCATTTAGCCATCATAGCAGCTAACCCCATCCTAGCTTTGAAAGAAGACACCTCCTGTGTATCTCAGGATGTTAGGATGCTGTGAAGCTTGTTGGTTTTGTTTTTTTGTTTGTTTGTTTGTTTGTTTTGCTTTGTTTTTGTTCATTTGTTTTGGTTTTTGTTTTGTGAAGCTTATTTATGATCCCATTTGCCAAATTTTTGGTGATGGTTCCCAGTATTGTCCCTCTAAGGGAGGAGACAACCATGAGGGAACTGCTTGAAGTGTCTCCCTTATCAGTGAGAAGAGCTGGGAAGATTTTACAGTGGGAGTGGAAGAGTCCTGCTTTAGCAGGAGCACTTTATCACTGAGCTGCATTCCCGGTGCCTTTTGTTTGGGGGCAGGTTATGGCTAAATTGCCCCACTGGCTTTGAACTTGGAACCCTGCTCCCTCAGCCTCCAGACTAGCTGGGATGACAGGGTGGTGGCGTGAATATCCATCACTTTTTCCTGAATCGTCCAAGACACCCTGTATTCTCAGGCACTCTGCAGGCCAAGGCGGGGGGTCCTTGGGAGTTTGTGACCAGCCTGGGCTACGAAGGGACCTCAAGGCCAGCCTGAACAGCATAGCAAGGCCCTGTCTCAGAAAGACGAAGAAAGAAAGAAAAAAAGAAGAAAGATGTAAAAAAAAATCATTCAAAAACAAATTGACAGTATTTTATTCAGACTCCCTCCAATACTTTTTTTTTTAATCTTTTTGAGACAGGGTTTTGCTGTTCAGCTCCAGCTGGCCATAAGGTGACTTTTTAGCCCAGTCTGGTCTCTAACTCCCAAGGATCCTCCTGCCTTGGTCTTCAGAGTGCTGGGATTACATGCGTGTGCCACCATATCCGGCTTCCCCCAGTACTTAAGCATGTATTTCCTGAAAGCAAGAACATTTTCCCATGTAATCAACCACAACCACAACAAGAGTGTTGGTGGTGAGTCCCTATCAGCCGCCCTCAGACTGCCATGCAGATCTGGCTGGTTTTCTCAGTGATGCTTCCTCTCACAATCAATCCCACCTTGAAGCACAGGTTTCATCTCTTTAGTCTCCTTCAGCAATTTTCTGGAGCAATTTTCCTCTTCCTCCACTGCTGTACCTTTTTTTCCCACCACCTTCTCCTTTTGAACTGCAGCCCTTTGAAGAAAGGTATATCTCAAAAAAAAAAAAAAAGAAGAAGAAGAAGAAGAAAAAGAAGAAGAAGAAGAAAAGAGAGAAAGGTATGTTTCCAGTTCTTTGTATATATATATATATATATATATATATATATATATATATGATTTTTTTGAGACAGCCTCATTATGTAGTTCAGGGTGGCCTTGAACTCACTGTGTAGCCCAAACTGGCTTTGAAATCATGAAGATTTTCCTATCTCTGCCTCCCAGGTACTGGGATTACAGTTGTGTTCCATCACACTTTTTTTTTTTTTTTTTTTCGGAACTGGGGATTGAACTCAGGCCCTTGTGCTTGCCAGGGGAAGCGCTTATTCCACTGAGCCATCTCCCCAGCCCAGCCATCACACTATTATTTCTTTTTATTTTGAGATAGGATCCAAGCTGAGCTTAAGCTTGTGATCCTCCTGCCTCAGCCTCTCAAGGGCTGAGATTACAGGTATACACCACCATGCTTGGCTTGTTTTGATGTTTTATTTATTTTGCAGTACCAGGGACTGAACTCAGGCCCTGTGCTTGCCAGGCAAGCGCTTATTCTACTGACCTATCTCCCGGTCCGGTTTTGATGTTTTGAAGCAAAAATCTCACTAAAGCTGGGCTTGAACTCACTGGGTAGCCCTGGCTGGCCTTGAACTTGCAGTTGCCTCAGCTGCCTGAGTTCTGTGCACCACTCCCAGCTGGACATCTGATGTTTCATCGTGATGACAGTTGCTCAGTCTGTGGCAGGGCTGTCCCAGAAGGCTGCTGTATTCTTCCTACTGCACCCTATCCGGTGGCTTCTATTTCAACATGTCTCATTGCTTTGCCTGCATTTGTATCTGCCAGATTTCTCCCTAAAAGTTCCTCCTCATCTTGGTAATTAATAAGGAATTCGTGAGGGGGTGTATATTTATATTGTAATTAATCTCTCAACAACTTTAGCTTTATTTATTTATTTATTTATTTATTTATTTATTTATTTTAGGGGGAGGGAAAGCCTTTATTAACTCTAAACACACGGAGAGGACCAAAGGCAAGAAGACGGGAAGATCCTCTTGATACAGGGAGAAAAACTGATCTCGGGTGGGTGACCTCCAAATGATACCGGGAACCTCTAGATGACACAGGGAAAATGATCTCCCGACCTGATCTGGACGAGTTCGTGTTCTCTAAAACCGAAGAATGAATTTTAGGAACAAACGAAGGTTATGAGCAGAATATATTTATTGAGGGAAAGAAAGCCCCTGTTTGAAAGAAGGCCAGGAGGGGGCCTGAGCGGGTAGTCCCCCAGCTTTATTTAATTATATCACTATGAACTCCTGAATTCTTGCTATCATCACTGATTTACTATCCAATTACTAACATAGTGGGGGGTTTTTGGTACTGGGAATTGAATCCAGGTCCTGGCACTGCCACTGAGCTACATTCTCAGTCTTTTTTTTTCTCTGTACCTGGAATTGAACTTGAGACCTTGTACTTGCCAGACAGGCACTTGAGCCCCTGGGCTATATCTCTTTACCCTAATATAGTTTTTTTGTTTAATAATTTTATTTATTTATTTATTTATTTATTTATTTTGTGGGGGGGGCAGCTCAGCCCACCAGGGGGCGGGGCTGGCTGGCATGTGGTGCTGGGGGATTGAACCGCGGTCCCTGTGCTTTGCTTGGCTTAGCTTGTTCTAAGTAGGTGTTTTAGACCACTGAGCCATCTCACCAGCCCTAATATAGGTTTTTTGTTTTTGTTTTTGTTTTGCGGAACCAGGGATTGAACTCAGGACCTTGTGTTTGCCAGGCAAGCACTTATTCCACTGAACCACCTCCCTGGCCCCCCAATATAGTTCTTATGATATACAAGTTATACTTGTTGTGGTCAGTGGGAGCCCTTTCATCTTGTACTCTCTACACTTGTACCATGATCTTATCTTTCATCAGCATCTCTTTACCTTCTGGCATAGCAACAAGCTTCAAGCTCAGCTGCACCTTTCATATCTCAGTTCAGGTGTCAGACATTTCTCCAGGCCACTCTGGTTCCTTCCAGTGGAGGAGCCTACTTAGAAATCCAAAAATCTAGGGCTGGGGATATTGCTCAGCAGGCTTAAGCACTGCCTGGCAAGCACAAGGTCCCAAGTTTGATCCGTGGAACCAGAAAAAAAAAAAAAATCAAAATCAGAGTACTAGCTGCACTCATTGCTACCCGGGTGTTGCTGCTCCAGGGCCCTCTCAAGGGATGGAGCTAGGAGTATATCTACACACGTGTAA